TACAGACCAATTTTCATTATTAAACACTGATACTAAGCTTGTACGCAAAGGTCCTAGCAAACAGGCTGAAAGATCTAATGCCCGAATGGATTCATGGGAGACCAGGTGGGCTTTGTTCAGGGGAGAGAGGGTAGAGATAATGGCTTGAGAACTCTGATGCTTATCCAGAAAAGGAGAAAAGGTGAAAGCCCCGGTAGTGCTCTTGTCAATTGATGCCGAAAAGGCGTTTGATTAGAGCTTGGACTGGGGCTTTATGATGGACAACTTGGAAGTGTTGGGGATTGGGAGAGAGAATGCGTGAATGGATAGGTAAACTATACAAGGAGCCCACCGCAATCATCACGGTAAATGGGGAAAGGTCGGAATCCATTGGGATGTCCAATGGAACAAGGCAAGGATGCCCATTGTCCCCCTTGCTGTATGTATTGACATTGGAACCCCTGCTATCAATAATAAGGAATAGTGGAGCGGTAAAGGGAATCCAGATAGAAAAATATAGAAACATAAAGTAGCGGTTTATTCTATTGAGCGGCTGTTCCTTATAAAAAAATCCTTTGTACCTACTGTTTTATGTAGGCAAACCCCGAATAACACTACCAAATATAATGAAGATCCTGAAGGAATATGGTGAACTATCTAATCTAAAAATTAACCCAAAAAAAACTGCTACATTTAACAAGATTTTTGAACATTAATATTACCAAAGAGCGAAAAAGAAAAGCTACAAAAAGAATTCCCCTTTATTTGGAGAGAAAAAAATATAAAATACCTAGGAATAAAACTTGCTACCTCATATAAACAACTGTATAGATTAAATTATATTTCTCTGATAAATGAGATTAAGGACAAACTAAAAAGAATTAGAAGGAGGAAATCCATCATGGTTAGGACGTATGAACCTAATAAAAATGGTAATTATACCTAAAATACTCTATAGATTTCAAATGATCCCGATCAAAACTCCCAGAGGCGTTTTTTAAGATAATGAGAAAAATGTTAACAAGATATATATGGAGGAATAAAAAACCAATGAGTATCATATGAAACACTAAGTAGGACTAAAGAGAAAGGGGGGATGGGACTACCTGATGTCAAGAGATATTACAAAGCAGTAATGTTAGCAAGAATTTATGACTGGACTTTAATCATAAGGGGAAAAGTTGGGTAAAAATGGAAAATGATCTGAGTGGAATTAATCTGAGTAGAATGATATGGGTTCCAGCACATTATAGAAGAATTAAAGAGGGCACAAGCACTTATACACCTTAATTGTCTTAAGGATAATGGGATAATTTACATAAAACACATGAAATGGGAATTCAACTCAATATTAATGCCTCTTGCAAACACAGAGTTTTTCCCCCCAGGAAAAGATGAGATATCAGGGAGATGGTTTAAAAAGGAAGATATCCAATTGAGAGACATATTGGTAGAGGGGGAACTGAGAACATTTAAAGAATTAAAAGAGATGGGAGGAGATATGTTTACTAAAATAGATGAGTGGAAATATCATCAATTAAAATGTTTTATAGGAACTCTCCCAAAACCCTTGAGATTAAAAAAGGAGTGGAATATGTTTGAAAGGCTATTAGAAACACGTAGAGATGGGAAACACGGTGTTACAAAAATGTATAGAATACTTACAGAACTAGACACAGACACAAAGTTAATTTTCATAACAAATTGGGAAAGAGATATGGGGGGTGGGGGATAGATGAAGATCAACAGAATAAGATATTTAGATTAGTTCACGAGAGTGTTAGTATGAGAGACGTTGAGATTAACTATAAATGTTTGACACAATGGCATATTACACGAGCACTGAGCACAGGATGAGGAGGGAGAATTCAAAAATGTGTTGGAGAGGATGTGGGGAAGAGGGCACAGTGTTTCACATATGGTGGCAATGTCCAAAAATTCAGGTTTTCTGGAAGACAATAGTCAAATTAATAGAAATAATAACTGGAAATGACATAGGATTAGACCCAACCATGTGTCTTCTACATAGTGTTGAGACAACAGTAAATAAATATAAAGAATCAGGTGTATGGTACTACTTAAGTGCAGCAAAAGGGTTGATCCCCAAGTTTTGGCGGAAGACAGAGGTACCACGAGAGGAGGATTGGATCAATAGGGCAAAACCAGATTAGCAGAATGGAAAAATCTATATCATATGCAGGAAGACAGGATGAAAATATACTATTCACAATGGGAAAAAATGGGAAAAATGGGAAAAATCGGGATTGAAAGAGAAATATAGAAAACTCTAAACTAGGAAGTTATTCGAAGTTACTGGGCCTAGAGAGACTGGAGATCTTGCAGAGGGGAGGGAGGGGGGGAAAGGGGGGAAAATGGTGGGCTGGGGGAGGGAAGGGAAATAAAAGAGGTAAATAGAAGGGACAGAGTAGAAATGTATTGATATTTATATGTATTGTGTCTCTTCTTATGGAAATTTTGTAATAATGTGAAAAATTAATAAATATTTAAATTAAAAAAAAAAAAAAAACTGAAGCGGGGATACCCAGCGGCGAGGCAGGCCAGTAAGGAGGGAGTTGCAGTAATCGAGTGGTGACATGATGAGGGAGTGGATGAGCTGTTTAGTGGTTTCTGGGGTTAGGAACGTGCGGATTTTGGAGATGTTGTGGAGGTGGAGTCTGCAACGAGCTTGTTAAAGATTGGACTTTGGGCTGGAAGGATAGGTTGGAGTCCAGAATGACACCAAGTACTCTGGCCTGCCGGGCGGGTTTGATGGTGGCGCTGTTGGACATGATGGAGAAGTCAATGGGGGGTGGTGTCCGGGCTGGGGGGAAGACAAGAAACTCGGTCTTGGAGAGGTTCAGTTTAAGGAAGTGGAGCGACATCCAATCTGATATGTCGCTCAGTAGGTGTGTGATTCGGGCAGAGACTGAGGGGGTGAGGTGGGGGGTTGAGAGATAGATTTGTGTGTCGTCGGCATATAGGTGGTAGTTGAAGCCGTGAGAGTGTATGAGTTGGCCAAGGGAGGAGGTGTAGCTGGAGAAGAGAAGGGGCCTGAGGACGGAGCCTTGAGGACCCCAACAGAGAGGGGGAGTGAGGGGGAGGTGGTAGCATTATAGGTAACGCTGAAAGAGCGTTGTGACAGGTAGGATGAGAGCCAGGAGAGAGCAGAATCTCTGAGGGCCGAAGGAGTGTCGTTTTTTGAGGAGGAGGGGGTGGTCGACTGTGTCGAAGGCCGCAGAGAGGTCAAGGAGTAGGAGCACTGAATAGTGGCCATTAGCTTTGGCGGTTAGCAGGTCGTTGGAGAGTTTGAGTAAGGCAGTTTTGGTAGAGTGTAGGGGACGGAAGCCACGGACTGTAGGGGGTCAAGGAGGTTGTTGTCGTTGAGGTGAGAGTATAGGCAGGTGTAGACTAGGCGCTCGAGGATTTTGGATTTAAATGGGAGCAGGGAGATGGGTCTGAGGTTGTTTGGGTCATTGGGGTCCAAGGATGGGCTTTTTTAAGTATGGGGGTGATGTGTGCATGTTTCAGAGGGGAGGGGAAGTGCCGGAGGAGAGGGAGAGATTAAAGATGTGGGTGAGGGAGCGTAGGATGGAGGGGGAGGGAGGTCGTAGGAGTTGTGAGGGATAGGGTCGAGGGGGCAGGTGCTGAGGCGGGCATCAGAGAGGATCTTGGAGACTTCCTCGATGGTAGTAAGGTCAAAGGTGTGAAGTGTTGAAGATCCTTCTCCACCATTGTCTCCCCCAGCTGTTCTCCTCCAAGAATGTAAGATAGATGTATGTTTTAGCGCCCATGTGCATAACTTTACATTTCGCAACATTTAACCTAATTTGCCACATAGTTGCCCAATTAAAAATTACACTGAGGCCAGTTTGAAAGTTGGAGACATCTTGTAAAGACTTAATTCCATTGCATAGCTTGGTGTCATCTGCAAATACTGAAATTGTACTTTTAATCTCAAACCCTATATCCTTTATAAATATGTTAAAAAGTAAGGATCCCAACACAGAATCTTGGGGTACACCAATAATATTGTTATAATAATAAAATTAGACCATTCAGAGTATGAAAACATTAATCACTATTCTCTAAATATGGTCTTTTAGTCAGTTTATTATCAATTTACTAACTGAATTTTCAAGCCCATGGACATAAGTTTATAAATTAGCCATGTGTCAAATGCTTTGGCAAAATCCAAGTATACTACTTCCACAGCCACTCCTTTGTCTAAGTTGCTGTTTACCTTTACATAAAAAAATAAATTTTATTTGTTTGATAACTTTGGTCTTTTATGAATCCATGCTGACTATTTGCTTAAAATATTATTTTCTAGCGGAAATAATTTTTTTATGGTCTTTTATTAAACTCTCAATTACTGTCTTGGGTATAGAAGTTAACTAACAGTTCTGTATTTACTTGGTAAAGTACTAAAGAGTCTCTGAAATTTGGAAACAATGGATTGGATATAACAGAACTCAGCTCTCTGAGGATCCTTGGGCATAAGTTGTGCTTTATCCACCTTTTATGTTGTTTAAATGTTTCTGGACCATGTAAGTTTCGAGTCAATGTGAATCATTGGGTCTATGTCAAACAACAAATCTATGTTAAGGATCTCCCCATTTATCTTTGTATAGACAGAGCTGAAGAAGGTATTTAATAAATAAGCCTTCTCTATGTCCTCAGTAACCAACTCAAAATTAAAGGTCTAGCATGCTCAGACTTGTCCTTTTTTTATTAATATATTTGAAAAAATTTGGGGGGGTTTGTTCTACTTTCCTTTGCAAACTATCACTAATTTTAAATTTTTGCAACTGTGATTCCCATTTTACATATAATGATGATAGTGTTTCTTCATTTTTATATTTTCTAAACCTCTTTTCTTATTATTTATAGCTATTTTAACTTTGGATGTGAGCCACACAAGTTTTATTTTTAGCCATACATTTGATGTATTATTACCTTTGGCATATACCGTATTTTTTGCTCCATAAGACGCACCTGACCATAAGACGCACCTAGGTTTTAGAGGAGGAAAACAAGTAAAACATATTCTGAACCAATGGACTGCAGACATAGTACAGGAAATGACCAGAGACTGCAGACATAGTACAGGAGATGACCAGAGACTGCGGATGCACTACAGGAGATGACCAGAGACTGCAGACATAGCACAGGAGATGACCAGAGACTGCAGACATAGTACAGGAGATGACCAGAGACTGCAGACATAGTACAGGAGATGACCAGAGAGACTGTGGATGCACTACAGGAGATGACCAGAGACTGCAGACATAGTACAGGAGATGACCACAGACTGCAGACATAGTACAGGAGATGACCTGAGACTGCAGACATACTACGGGAGATGACCAAAGACTGCAGACACAGTACAGGAGATGACCAGAGACTGCAGATGTGCTACAGGAGATGACCAGAGACTGCATACATAGTACAGGAGATGACCAGAGACTGCAGACCTTTGGGGTTTGGGGGGGTGGGTACTCGAATTTGACAGGTACCCACTCCCACACTCAATGCAATCACCAAGGAGATCGGAAGCAGAAGTTGTCCTCCCCCCTCCCTCCTCATAGTCTTCTGGGACACGTGACAGGTCCCAGAAGACTACAGGTCCATTCACAAAGTGCAGCGCTTCTCGTGCATGCTCAGTGGGCACCCAGTTGTGAAGCCACAAGCTGTCACAGCTGGGTGCCTACACTAAAGATGGGGGTGCCAGGGAGAGACGACAGCCGGTGAAACCAGCTGTGGTGAGGACACTACTGGACCGAGGAACAGGTAAGTGGCTATATTTCAGAAGTCAGCAGCTACAGTTTTTGTAGCTGCTGACTTTTTTTTTTCCAGCTGGAACTCCGTTGTAAAGAGTAGCTGCTTTGGGCCCTGCTTGGCGCTGCTGCACAGAAGAGCCGAGCAGCTAGCCTGGTATTCTAACACGGCAGTGGCAACAGGCAGGAATACCGGGTCATCAGCTCCATATTCGCTCCATAAGACGCAAAGACTTTTCCTCCCATTTTTTGGGGGAAAAAAGTACATCTTATGGAGCAAAAAATACGGTAATTGACTGTTGCATTGTTCATTGTGATATATTCTTCTGAGTTTTTGCTCTGATGAATCTTGACTATCAAATTATTTTATTCATAATAGTGTTGTCTAGATCAATGCATGATGTGCTAGCTAAAGGAATGTATTATTACAAAATTTTAACAAATGCAAATGTATGGAAAAATGGATTGGTGAGTTAAATGGGGGCAGTATGACCAAATATATTTATTGCTAAAATGCCATAAATTACTTCATGTTTCTATTATTTTCTACTTATTTGTGCTATATTGTATGTCTTTCAGTGTTAACATATTTTAAATAAGTATCTGTTGATACATTTTTCTGGTTCAAATTGTTTATTGAAAGCAAAATCATGTATACATCAAAAACATGTATGCTCAATATAGAGCTGAGCCACACTCTATGCAGAGATAATAAAGACAGTGGCTTGAATCACAGTGAAGATAGTGAATAACATACAATTGGCATCATTGCAACATCCCAAAGACATATGTGAACAGTTTTTCAACTGAAAATTCAGGCTGATTAAGAATATCAAAGACATTTCTAGTTGAGCGATTGCTAAATGTCCCATCACAACTGTAGCTCAAGATAGGCTTTGGACAGTTATTTACCAAGTAGATACAAGATAGAGAGTATGTAAACTTTTTATGATGTATAGTCGTACAACGGTATAACGTACAACGGTATGGTGTATAGAACCAGTCTGGATGAACTTATCAAATCATACTTTTTTAATGGTATTTTATCTTTACTTCATGAAGATTCCAGCCCACAAAAAGAGTTTAAACCCATCTAGGGCTGTATTGTCCTATTGTTTTGTTTCCTGCTGCAAAATGATTTGTAACTCTAATCATACAGTTATTGATGCAGTTCAGTCAGATGAAAACTACTAAAGTAAATACAGCCTGATATTCCTTAAGTTTACTGTTGATTTTCAACTTGTCTAGAGGTTTCCTAGAACTGTTTTTTTTAATTAGTAAGCAAATGTGATATAGTATCAGGTTTGCAAGAGAAATTGATTTTTATGTAAATTTTTTTGATGAGTGGACTTATGGGAAAAGCCATTATATGACTGTCCAAAGTGTCAGAGATTCTAACACATGATTTATGTTTTTATTGTACTGTGGTAGTATACAACCTGCCTACCACTTTCTGTAAAAAGGTATTATGGCTATTTTTCGAAATACTCAGAATGGAACAACTGTTCACACTATTGTGATCCACCCAAAGCATCCTTTTACACAAGTAGACACAGCTTTCCTAAAGACATATGGAACTCATGTCCTGTTGGGTGCTCCAAGACCAGACTTTTATGAAATGTAGGAGTGGCTTGACAAGCAGCTCTTCTGTGGTCCTGTTACTCTGAACACGATGATTTGTAACAATATGAGCAGACTTCGTTTCACTAAACTATCTAAAATTCAAGCCACATTTGCAATTAGGTTTACCACTGAGAAGTATGACCAAAAATGCTTTCTACTACAGTTTAAGTCACTGATAAACTGTTTAATTTAATGAGGATCAAGACAGTAATGGTCTGCATATATTAGGTTGGATTTGTATTGAACAAGTGACAATCGATTCATCTGTGGTCCACAATGCAGCAGAACAGTTCAGGGGATGGTGATATATGAAGGAAAGTATAGAATAATTAAATAATTCATAGTGGTACAGCCCCATTCAGAGAGCTCTTAAAACCTTTGTTTTCTTTCTCCTGCTGCATTTGTATAAGAGTTGTCTGTTTAGTAGTTAATCGAGGAGTTAATCTTACCATTTCTCACCAAGAAACCCATTATGCATCAATGCAGTTGTCATAGGCTTGTTTCCTCCTCAATTTGTCCTATAATTTTCCTCATTTCTTCACATTTAAAACTTCATTCTGGAGCATCTGCAGCAGTTTGACCTTCAAAATTCTATTACAGTGCATGCTAGACATTTGCTGATAATCACTGATAATCACAACTGTGAATTCCTAATAGTGATAACTGAGCTTTGATCAAAAGAAAAAAAAAATACATAGACGACCAACACGGAGGATAGAATTATTACTTCTTTTAGATATGGTTCAAAAGAGAGGCTTTTAGTGAAAAACTGACAGTAATTACCCATCGTAGAAATGAATGGGGCCATGACTAAAGGACTCCCACTTCCACAAAACTGTTTTTTACTTTAAAATCACATTTCATTTTTAATGCAAAAAAAAGGGAGAGGTAATTATTTTTACCTTTATCTTTTATGACTACAGTACTTGCAAATGCAAAGTTGCCTCTCTGCGTTTACACTTGCGGTAATTACAGTAGGTGAGGGACATGTCATTCCAAAAATATATTACAGGCCTGCCTTCTATCACATTTTCAATACATATAAAAAATATTGGCTTTCTTTTATATACAAGCACAAACCAGCTTGACAGACAGTGTTGACATTGTCACTGGTAACAGCACACATAGCGGACAGAGACAAACCTTTCTGTCTCCTTCTTTTCATTAATTAGATGTTCAGAAGGACCTAATGCACCAGTCAAATAAACTTATCAGCAAGAGAATCATCCTTTACCTTTTACCTTGACAGCTGCTCTACAGATGTTCTCTGATATATACAGTTTAACCACTTAATGTTCAGCAGCAACCTAATGTTTACCACCTACTATGGTTAGAGCAATTTTCAGGTTTCAGTAGGTGCAAACGTTTGTCTCATTCTCCTTTTTTTGGCAATTTATTATTTCTTTATTTATCTATTTAACAGATTTTTTTTTGTATTAAAAGGACGGATGGGGTTATTTACTAAATTTGGTGAGTGCAAAATCAGAATCACTTCTGCATAGAAACTAATCAGCTTCCATGTTTTTTTTGTCAAAGCTTAATTGAACAAGCTGAGGTTAGAAACTGATTGGTTTCTATGCAGAATTGAACCTGATTTTTCACTTTCCAGCTTTCGTAAATAAACCCCATAGTGATTCTTTTCTGATAACATATAGAATTTGTTTTTAATTTAACAACATATTAGGGTCAAAAAAATCTATGGAAGAACTGATATAAATATATGTCTTAATTAAATTCTTGTTCTCACCTGTCCTCAATCCAGCGATATCTTGGCTGTAGGGCCTTTTTAATGCCAGTCAGAAGCTTGTTAGAATCTTCACAACACCCAGGGAGACTGCACAGATATCTCACTGGAAAGGGGACAGGAGAGTAAAAGACTGGGAGAGGGGTTTGGGGGCGACTGAAGGGGTTATACTTTTGTCTAACTACACAAAATGTAAAGTTTGAAATTAAAGGCTAAGTTCACATTTTGAAAAAAAATGCACATTTCTTGCAGGTAAAAAAAAATGTGTATTTATTTATTGTCTAAGGGACCTGCCGAGCATTGCATCCACAGTCAGCAGATAGTGGGTGAAAGTTGTAGACTCTCAGGATAGCTGTTTTCCATAGCTTGTACAGGCAAGCAGTTACTGGAGATCACGAAGTTCAATAAACTATGAGAGTGCTCACAAGAGCCCTCATAGTTCATTGAGGACTACAAGCCATCAGCTGCATGGCTGATTTGTAGTTAATTCATTCACAGGAAATTTGGAATGAATGATGCAACCATGTGAAGTGTTGTTTTAAAATTGACAGCGGGTGTGGGAAGAAGATTCTCCATCTGCTGTCCCCGGGAGGTCAGGGGAAGAAGGTGTAGACGCTGGAACATGTTACATGTTCCACCCTAAAAATTAGTGAAATGTGACATGTTCCAAAGGTGAGCTTATCCTTTATGGTATATAATTGGTGATCTCTTCACTAAAACCCTCTTTTATGGATGTCACAATGATCACATGGCTAGGAACTACACTGATAGGGCTGAAAATGACCAGGATCATGATTTACTAGTGGAGTAAGGAATGCTCACTTTGCGAAGTAAATTTAAGTGTTCAGCTTTAGAAATTCTGTTCATTTTAAAAAACAATCATGTGCATGTTAATTCAAACAAAATTGAATGATTTGTGTGAAAACAGTTTCACCTTATCCAGTAAGCTTGGTGTGTATACCCTTTGCAAAGTGAAAATTCTGCAAGTTTTTCGTAGCACGCTTTGCAACTGCAGGTTTCTGGTAAACACATGGGTATAATAAAGCCAAAACGAAGAGTGACCTTGCATAGTTATAAGGTTAAAAACACAAACATCACTACAATGTGGGATTTTATCAAAAGGACAGACAAAATAAATGAAAACTTTATACAGCTAGGGAAAACACATTATCAGAATTAATATTTTTGAATAACAGAGGGAAAAAAGACAGAAGCTGCATAAAGAAAAAAGGAAATCTCATTGACGAGTAAGTAATTTAGTAAGACAACTGGAGATGTGTGCACTGATGATTAATGCAGAACCTGGGATTTGCTTATGGATTTAACGTACAAATGTTCGTGATTTTGCCTAGATTTTGTGCATGTCCGTGGATGTTAATGGGGAAGCATGCCAAGAAGTCCCACATGTGAGCAAGCTGTGGAGTAGTACGGTCATGAATAATTCAAAGAATACTGGTAGATGTGATGACTTCAGAGACATGCTTCAAGAAAGATGAGAGAGAAAGAAAAATCATTTATCAGAAATTTCAGGCTTGAAATAATGTTTGATTGGACAAGAGTTTTCTTTTTTTTTTTTTTTCAGTTTCGGAAATAAAATGTATGCACGTATGAAGGGTTAGGGCACACTATCAGACATCCACATACA